CCAGGTAAGGAGAGTATTTTCTAGGGCTGTGATGCAGGCAAATCCAATTAATTCCTGATTTAAAAGACCATCTTAAGACCAATGTTGGAGCTATTACATGAGAAAGCTAAGCAGGGCCAAAGAATGAAAAAAGGTCCCATCATTACGTCAGAACGCAAGGCCCTTTGGACTCTCTCGGCCAGAGGGGAAGTCAAAGTAATTCTTTCACATGTTAATCATGCTTTCCTTCCTGGCCTTCAAAGAGCTCCTGGTGACTGGTTTAGCCTTCACTGCCTACATCTTTCCTTTTAAGCCTTGACCCATCCAGATTTCTCCCGTTTTGTTTTTTTTTTTTTTGACAGTGCTTTTGTAATCTCCTATATTACTTTTGAGCTTGTTAAGCTATTGCTAACTCCTAAATTCCCTTCAACTATCTGCTGAGCTTTTCCAAACACACACACACACATTCCTAAAACCATTCTAAAAGGTGTTCTAGGTGGTGCCTGTGGCTCAGAGGAGTAGGGCACCGGCCCCATAAGCCCATATGTGGTGGGTTCAAACCCAGCCCTGGTCAAAAATAAAATAAAATAAAAGGTGTTCTAGGCAGTCTATGAGTATTTTTAATTTTTGAAAAATTTGAAAACATACCGAAGTTCAAACACTAGTACAATGAACACACATATTCTCTATCTAGAGTCAATAACTGTTATAATTTTTTGGCCACATTTTCTTTTCCTCTTTCTACGTATAACCGTATATACATATATATGTGTCTTTTTTTGCCCAACTTATTTGAGGGTGAGTTACATATGTTACAGTACTTCACCCTTGTAAGTACCTCAGCATAAGACATTCTCTTAAGTAACCATAATTAAAATTAAAACAATTCAGCATCATCTAATGCTGATTTCCTATTCAAACTTCCCAGTGTCTCCCCAATTTTTATGGTTTTATTTTTCTAAACCAAGACCCAGTCATGATTTACCCATTGTACTCAACTATTTTGTCTTTTTGTCTCTTAATCTAGAATAGTCCCCCACTCTCTTTAATGACACTGATCTTTTGAAAAGTTTAGGCCTTATAGAAGAATGTTCCACATTCTGGACCTGATTCTTCCCTCACAGTCATTTTTACCTCTTCTTCCACATCTGTATTTCCTGTATACTGGAAGATGTGTAACAAGGCTCAATTCTATTCGGGTTATGCATTCTTGGCGAGGTTCCTCCACAGGTGATGCTGTTAGTGCTTCATGTTGCATCAAATCAAGAGGCATATAAAGTCAGGCTGTTCCACAATTAGTGGTACTAAATTTGACCAATGGGTTTAGCTGGTGACTGCTGGATTTCTCCACAGTAAGGTAGATCTTCCCTTTGTATTTATTAAGGAATCTGTGGTGTGTGATGGATTATATGTATAATATGGGCAGCACTTTGACGCTGTGCAAACATCTTCCCTTTCTCTTTCTCTTCCTTTTACCAGATAGGTTTTAGCTTTTATTTTGACGATCTTTGTCTGAATCACTGGGAATTGCAAATGGTGATTTTCCCAGTTTTATCATTCCATCTACAATTATTTGCTGGCATTCTTCTATACAGAAAAACTCCCACCAGGCACACTGGCTCATGTCTATAATTCTAGCACTCTGGGAGGCCGAGGTAAGCGGATTACTTGAGCTCAGGAGTTCCAGACCGGCCTGAGCAGTAGTGAGACCCTGTCTGTACTAAAGTAGAAAAACTGAGGAAAGAGGACTGCTTGAAACCAAGAACTTGAGGTTACTGTGAGCTGTAATGCCACAGCACTCTAGTCAGAGAACCAGAGGGAGACTATTACTCAAAAAGAAAAAAAAAAAAAACAACTCCCTTTCCCCATTCTTTATTACCATTGACTTACGGATTTTAAAAAATGCTTTGATAATCTATTATAAGGATTATTCTTTTTAGTCCCCTCAAACTAGGTTCTGCAGGCATTTGACTTAACCTATTGATCTGGGGGCAGATCACGTCTTTGCAAAGCACTTTTTTGCTTTCTGGAAAGGTGTTTCAAGTTCAACTTTGTTTCCACAAAAAAAATCTATGACGTTTCAGGATTTTTGCTTGTTTGGTTGGCTTCTTTTTGCCCCTAGAATATATACCACTGAAGAATGTATGGTTAAAGTACTGTTAAGTTCTACTTCTGACTAACTCTAAAGAACTATTATTTCTGATCCTTGCTTCTAAACCTTTAATCTTTTTCAAACTGAAAGAAGTCTCATTTTCTGCTTTTAGTAGCATGTTTTTTCTTTAGTGATATGGTTTGTTCTTTGGTGGTACATGTAAAACACAAAATAGCTGAAAATGCACATCCTAAGACTAGCGAGACAATACAGATTTAAGTAAACGATTCAGGATAGCTGTAAATGATGACCATCTGAGCCCCTCCACTGACCAATAGACATTTAAGGCTGTTTTTCCATCAACTTGAAACAGATGATGCCACCTAAGCATCATCCCAGGGTATATGATTAAGTTTATGAAAAGTTCTACATACTTCATTGCAGACTATCACTACAGTATGTATTCAATGCGCTATATCCAAAAACTCTCAATAAGCACAAAAAAGCAAGTAGCTTGCCCTGAAGCTAATCTCCATGCAAGCATTCAAAACACATATTATGACTAAAGAAACAGTTATTATGACTACACACACACACATCTCTAATTCATCACCATAGGCATTTGTCAAGATGGAAAAAAATGTGAACAAATCTGGGGCTACTTAAAGTCAGGAAAGGATATAGTAAAATCTAATCTAAATAAAGCAGTCTCACATTTAACTAACATACATTATTTTATTGCATACTCTTGTGCCCTGTAGGAAGTTAGCACGTCTTCACAGGTGATAGCTATACTTAGATTTTCTTTATTAAGGAGAGGAAATAGCTGTATAGTCTGGTGACAATTTGGAGTCTTTAAGTTTCATTTATAGGTTTGAATAAATAAATACCAGGTTTAAGGAACTACAGGTTTTAAGATACTGCTCTTTATGAAAACTCAGATAATGAAAGTGGATTTTGACACTTCAAAGGTGCAGGTAAGTCAGAAAGCCTATTGAAGTATTGCTCTTAATTTATAATTGTTCCGGTGTTGTCTTTAATGCCACATAAAATCACTGTGAAAATCAAAGTATATGTAAAGTGCTTAGGATGTTATCTGGCTATCTTTTTGTGAGAATTAAAATATAGCTTTTAAAATATACATCAATGTTGCACAGATAAAAATATCCTGAGAAGAAAACTATCAAGATGGTATAGAAATCAAAACTAGACTTTATTATGAATATTTCCCTATTTTCTGATCCATGCAGTTCAGGAAGAGTTCTCGTTTGAGATTTTTTTTTTTTTTTTTGAGACAGAGCCTCAAGCTGTCCCCCTGGGTAGAGTGCCGTGGCATTATAGCTCACAGCAACCTCCAACTCCTGGGCTCCAGCGAGTCTCCTGCCTCAGCCTCCCAAGTAGCTGGGACCACAGGCGCCCGCCACAACGCCTGGCTATTTTTTGGTTGCAGCTGTCATTGTTGTTTGGCGGGTCCGGGCTGGGGATTCGAACCCGCCACCTTAGGTGTATGTGGCTGGCGCCTTAGCTGGTTGAGCTATAGGTGCCGAGCCTCGTTTGAGGTTTTTACACAACTATTAAGAAGATCCTCCTGGCATCAGTTCTTAAAATACACAATTAGAATAAAAGTAGTAGTGAAAACTATATTTTAAACAAATCTCTACTATAATTTAGGAAAAGTTCATTCTTTCCAGTTTGTCTTCCCTCTGACTTCTAGCTACACACTGCTGCCCTCTGCAGCATTTTCAATTCTTGTAAGTATACTGCCATCCCAGTCATACGAACCTGGCCTAGTTTCCACCTCTACCGGTTATCTGACTCACTATGAAAGTTACGTGGGTATATATAGAAAACAAAAGGGAAGCCTCCTTCAGAAGAAAACAAGAAAGAACTAAAAAGCCAGATGTTGGCACAGTTCAAACGAACCCATCTAAGAAGAGAGGGTACTTAACGGACAGCAACAAACCCTCACACCCCATCCTGGGAAGGTTCCTTCCTGCCCCCTCTTTATGGGGGGCATGTTAGGACTTTATTTTTGGTAACAACACTTCCTGTAAAATTGTTTTTTAAATTGTAATAAAATTACATACGCACGGATATGTGTTTAAGAAAGGGCAGTGAAAAGGGTAATCAATGAAACCATTTGGCTCCCACTTCAAATTAGTGTATTCGTCCTCAACTTTTTTATTATCACAAACATATACTTAATGTATGTTTCTTTCTCAGCATAAATGGAAGTATTTATATTACTGCGCTAATCATTCAAAACTTAGAGATTGTTTCCTATGAAGCAAGATTTATCTATTTAAAACCAAACAAGTTTTGACAGAATAATTTTAAATAAATCAACCTCCTCTCCAATAGGTTCTTTCTGCTATAATTTAATTACATTCCTACTGCTACTAGCGTTTTTATTAATACTGTATACAAAGCAGTTCTCAAACTTGAGCGGACATGGGTATCACCTGGAATGCTTGTCGAAACTGATTGTTAAGCCCACTCCCAGAGTTTCTGTTTCAGAAAGTCTGGGGCTGGGCTTGAGGATTCCATTTCCAATAAATTCCCAGGTGATGCTGAGGTTTCAGAGCCCACACTTTGAGAACAACTACCTAGTACAAGGCTGCATTAAACCCGTTTCCTCCCACCTCCCAGGCACACGTGATTGCTCATCTGGAAACCTCAGGAAGGGCACAAAAGCACCCGCTCCAAAAGAAACAGCTCCCAGGGGCAAGCCGGAACCTAGATAGGATGAACCGCCGCTCCGCGTCCGGTGCAGGCTACTACGACACTTCCTTCCCATTAGACCCGCCTACTCCGCGTCCCTAACGTGAGTTAGGTGGCCGACTTAGAGGGCGCGAGGAACCACGTGAATCGAGTGACATCTCGCGAGTATTTGCATCTCTCGCGAGACTTCACCCACCACTGTCTTTTCCTCCTTCTAGTGCCCGGCTTTCCTCCCCTCCCCCTCATCGCCGGCCGAGTTCTTCCTTTTCAGAGTCGTCTTGTCGCGAAGATTTTCTTACTGCTGCTGTCGCTGCCTCCACCACCGCCCCTGGGCTCATTTGCCCTGACCCCTTCCCGCTGCCCTGCCCCCAACCCCACACAAGGTAACAAACCCTGTAGTGGAGAGCGAGGCCTCACCGGCCCTCAGTCTCTCCCGAGTTGAAGCCGAGGCCTCAGGCCGACTGGCCAGCCTCACCGGAGAAGTCTGGGCGTCGGCGATAGATTTAGGAGCCACTGTCTGTTCTCCCACCCGAAATTGAGCCTTGAGGGGCCTGGGACAGCGTTGGGGTCCCCGTGCTGTGCCGCGAACACGGCCAACCAGGGGAACCCGTCGGGTGGGGTTGAGACGCCCGCGGCGGTTCAGGGAAGAGCCAGCCTGCTTGAGGGTGTGGGGCTCAGGTGGTTTCCCGGGAAACCTGTTTGAATTTCAAGGTCTGACATAAGTAGTGGCAGACTTTGAGGTGTTGGGGGACTGCGAGGACAGCCCAAGTTTTCGTTGAACGGGAATTTTGAGATAGAAAGATCCTCGGAAGTCCGCATTATTTGCTTAGAAATCGTCAGAAAAGTTAATTCGTATCTTTTTTTTTTTTTTTTTTTTTTTTTTTTTGAGACAGAGCCTCAAGCTGTCCCCCTGGGTAGAGTGCCGTGGCATTACAGCTCACAGCAACCTCCAACTCCTGGGCTCAAGCGAGTCTCCTGCCTCCGCCTCCCAAGTAGCTGGGACCACAGGCGCCCGCCACAACGCCCGGCTATTTTTTGGTTGCAGCCGTCATTGTTGTTTGGCGGGTCCGGGCTGGGGATTCGAACCCGCCACCTTAGGTGTACGTGGCTGGCGCCCCAGCCGGTTGAGCTATAGGCGCCGAGCCATTCGTATCTTATTTTCAGGAAAATGAGCTGGATTTGGCAAAAGGCACGTTCCTTCTTTAAATCGGGGCGTATTTGCGCTGTTTCTTTTACTGAAGAAAATGCATCTACAACTATTTAGGCTACTGGTTGAAAGATACTTGTTTTGGATAAGAACTTCAAAATATACTCTAATTGAGTAGTTCTAGTAGAGTTATATATGTATTAATTTAAAATCATTTTTATTTGAATTAAGCAGCAAGTGCTTAAAAATAACTACCCTGCCCTGTCCCCCTAAAACTCAACTCTTCCAACAGACTAGTGCTTTTTAAAAAGAAGATAGAACAATCTTGATTATTCAGCCAAACACCGTGCCTTCCCTGTAATAGGAGTTTAAAGAAGATTATACGTTTCCCTTTCCCTCTTGTCCCTATTTTCTGCTTTTCTTTTTATGTGAAATTTATCTCATGTTCATAATCCTTAGACTCTGTCCTCTTGAAGTTTGTGATTTAGCTCAACTCTGAGCTAAGAGTAAAGGTAATGGAGATCCATTAAGCTGCAGTGTTAGGAATTAGAAGCAAAAACTGGTTAATTCAAGAGGACAGGGAAATTATTTTGTATGTTTGATTTTTGGTTCCACTTTCATGGTCTTGCCATTTTTATTTTCCTTAGATGTCAGAAGATTTAGCAAAGCAGCTGGCAAGCTATAAAGCTCAACTCCAGCAAGTTGAAGCTGCATTATCTGGAAATGGAGAAAATGAAGATTTGCTAAAATTGAAGAAAGATTTACAAGTAAGTATAGGCTGACAATTGTAGTTTCTCTGTGTTTTTCAGATGATTTATTGCTTAGAATCCATAGGTACCCAAAGAGGTACCCCTCACCTGTGTCTGTGTTACACATATATGCACATAAACACTGTGGCTTGTAGAAGGAGGCTTGCTTCCTCAGCTAGTATATATCACAATGAGTAAATTGGTATTCTTAGTTACATAAATCTGGTGTGCTTCTGTGATTTTTTAAAATTTTAAAAATGAGAGTTGATTTTGGAAGTCTCTATCAAATTCTCAAGAGGTTACATACAACTCCACAACAAAAAGTGCTTTTATTTTTTAAGACCTGGCCAGGGAAATTCAGTTCAAAAGACAACTAAGAATAACTAAAGATATAGCTATCTTAAGATTCTTTTTAATGGCTTAAGAGTCTTTGAAGATGTGGCTTTTTTTTCCCACCAAAACTAGTGGCATATACTTTGTATTGAAAACATTTCAACAAATGAGAAGGGCCTAGTTAAAAAAGAAGACATATCATAAATACCAAAATAAGGTACATGTTCTCTGCATAGGTGCTTGGACTTAAGGCTAGGTTTTAAAGTGTAATGTTGACAATTGTTGAATTTGTGAAAAGGAGATCTTAATTTTTCTGTCATGGGAGAGGTTAGGTATGAAATCTTTTTTTTTAAACCTGCACTTGTATTTTGAGACAAACTCATGATAGTAAATATCTGTTCTTTCTTAGGATACCAGGTTGATTACAAAAAATGCCAAATTTGTAAATAAATGACTTTTCATCTTAAGAACTTCTTTAAATTCTGAATCTGATCCTTAAAAAGATTTAAGGGTATTTTGATCTCTTCACTGATTCAGTGTAGAACTAAAACCTGTGGGCAGTGGCTGTGGCTCAAAGGAATAGGGCACTGGCCCCATATGCTGGAGGTGGTGGGTTCAAACTCAACCCCAGCCAAAAACTGCAAAAAAAACCCCACAAAAACCTGTACTCTGTCTAAATAATCCTTTCTCTCCCTTTATCATCCTGTTGTCCATTAAAACTATTAATATTTTAGGGATATTAGAACTGCAAACAAGTAGAACTACCTGAAATGAGATCCAGATTTGGGATTCTGAAATTGCTTATCTGGGTACAATTAAGATGAGTTGAATATTTTCAGATTCTAGATGTGGGATGATAGTATATTTTAAAAAATATATAGAAAGTATCTGGGATAATTTTAATATGAATAGGACCCCCCCTTCAGTATTTAAAAGGTAGGTCTGTGGATTTTAGGTTGCTAGTTAATAAGAAAAAGGTGTTTGGGAGTAATTTCTCACATTCACGGGCTCTTCAGTAAAGATAACCCAATGGTTTGCTACCTGCCCATTCATTTGATTGCTTACCTGTTGTGAATATACATTGAAGATAATGCAGTACAGGCAAAATGACCTTTCGTATACTTTGTAAAGTGTACTGAGTTTCTGTTTGCCCACTGAGAAATGTCCAGTCTTAACAACTTAAAAGCAGTCCTTTTTTTCTTTCAGAAAAAGAAAACACTTGTGTGCCAGTGTTTTGTATATTGCTTCCTAGGAGATATATGTGGAACTGGTAGAGGGGGAGTTGGCAGTGGAGTGTGAAGTATTATCATCAGTTCTTTTTAATATTTCTAGAATAAATTGTCATTAGAGTCTGGGTAGAACTGCTTTACTGTGACATGATTTATACTGTCCTGAGAAACCATTGTGGTAGAAGTTACAGTAAGCACCTAAAAGGCTTGCGTAGGGCTCAGTTAATGATGAACTAGGAATCATTTATGTGTATATTTTCTTTACTATAACCATTCAGAACAGCACTATCTAGTAGAACTTTCTGTGACAGTAGAAATGTTCTACATCTGCTGTTCATTACCATCGCTACAAGCCATGTGTGGCTACTCAACACTGGAAATAGCAGGTCAGGTTACTGAGGAGTTGAGTTTTAAATTTAATTTGATTAAATAACCACATGTGACAACCATATTGGATAGCAACAATTTAGGAGGTTAAATTCTGATACCTTAGTAATAATAGTATTTTTCCTGACCAGTCTCGCTCACAGTTTCTTTCCCTCTAACTCTAGCATGACAAAAGTTTCATTTTGGGCGGTGCCTGTGGCTCAAAGGAGTAGGGCGCCAGCCCCATATGCTGGAGGTGGGGGGTTCAAACCCAGCCCAGCCAAAAACTGCAAAAAAAATTAAGTTTCATTTTGGTTACTAGTGAGGTCCGTTTTGAATTGAAAACTACTCAAAGATGGAAAGCATCTTTTAAGGTTAAGTAAAACTCTGAAAAGTATTTGTCTGCATGTTTCCACCTAGTAACTGTTTCTTCATTGAGGTTACAGTTAACAGCTTCAATTTTGCTATGGGTTTTTTTCTCCCTCTTCTCTCCTTTCTGGGGAGTATCTTGTACCATTGGTATTTAATGCTATCTATTATGTTTGGTAAGAAGTCTGTTCAGACTGAATATGTGGCTTCCTCATTCTCATATATTTGGACAGTCCTACGGTTTCTAATTTCTTGTGGAATTATATCAGTTTTTGAAATTATATCATTATACTGGTTATTAATTGGTCATTTGATTTATGACAAAATGCTCTGCATTTTTCAGTGACTTCATTTTGCCAGTAGGTTTCTGTTTATTTCTTTTATGTATTGTTTTTCATATAGACTAAAGTTACTCAGTAGGCAGAAAATTAATCTACTGGAGTCCTAATTGCCTTTCTTTTTTCACTTAAAAAGTGGTATAGTAAAATCCAGGCTAGCTAGCTAACTAGCTCCCAAGGTAGTTCTGATAATCACAAAAATAGTAAATTTATGAGGCTGTGTTGCTGAATAAACTGGTTCTAAAGGAGGCAGGGGTCAAGTCACTTGTCTCATATATTACAGTGGCTCTCTGCATCCCCGAAACGCCTTCCTTCAGTAAGCAGAGTGCTTGAGTGCACCCCCTTTGACCTGCTGATATGTAGATCACAACACCTGATGCTTCCTGGAATTGCCGATTACTGTAACTGCTGCCCATCTGTCGATGAAGGAGCAGTTTCAGAACTCAGACTTGAGGGAGGAAAAGTAATTAATGGTATGTACCTTCGAGAAACCCCCTCATACATAAAATAGTTTTTCTAATACTTGGGTCCATATGTACATGTGAAGAAAAAAAAATTAGTAGAAGGTTTTTCATAGTTTAGAGGTGTGTGTAAAACTATAGCAAAGTTGAAGGACACCAAGAGTAAATGCTCTAGATTTTTTTAAGGGTCATTTCAACATAGGGCTCTGAAAATTCTTTATAATATGTGCAGCTTTTCAGGACCCTTTTCTTTGAAAATATATATCCTTATGAAAATACAGTGGGAAAATGTTCTGTACTAAAACAGAGTTCTGAATTTGAGACCTATAAATGCCAAATTTATATTTGTGCTTTAATAGTTAAATGATCCTTAGGAAGATGTGGAAGAATTTAATGATAGGGGGTCCTGTGGGCTCTTAAGCCAGGGTTACTGGATTATGTTCCTGACCCTAAATAAAAGCGATTTTATTTCCAGAACTGACCTTTCTTCAAGCGTTTAATATTCCTCATATTAAAGACTCAAAGTTTTTAGAAATAGATAGGAAGATTTAGAATCTTTAGGAGAAGAGGTACTGTTTACTAGCTAATGAATCAGAACTACTGTTAGAAAACTTAAGTGGGAATCAGAAGAATCTTAGTACACAGTTTAGTTTTGCTAATTTTTCTCCCTAGAGACACAGTATACTGTTTGAAATGCAACAGTGGGAGAATGGGTATGCAAGGTCTTCAAATAAATCATGTGATATATAACATGGGTCTTCATTGGAATAAAAAATAGCAGAAATAATTATCAATTTGTACTATTTCTCAAGTTTTTACCAAACATCTTTGAACCAAGCCAATAAATACAAGCCTGAATTAGAAAAAATATCTGCCAAAGAGGCATTGCTTGCCTGTGTGTTACTTTTATTTTTTCCTTTTAAATGAAGCCTAATGTGCTTAACATTAAGGTATGGAATATTTTTTAATCTAACCTGGTAATTTGCTTACCCAAATGGAGTGAGTTTTACGGTAAATGAATAGGATGACTACTGGTTTCTTCTATACATGCCTAAAGTATTTTAGTAGAAATAGGTATAAGTAGGAATATTTGTGTTACTAATAAGGCTATTCTGAGGATGAGGGGGTGGCTAGGCAGTTAATACTACTGCCAGGTAATTTTCAGTTGCATAAAATATACATGACAGTAAGAATAAAAGTGATCTTATGTTTAATTAGCCTTCATATTTGATTTTATTTCTTATCTTTAGAGAGGTCTAATTAGCAAAAACCTAGTCATTTAAATAAGCTCAAGTCTACTCGATTACCATTAGTATTTGTGATTAAGTTGAAAGGCAACTTATATGAACTTAAATCACGGTTCTACCATTTACTAGTATAAAAGTTTCTATCTCAGTTTCTACATGGGAATAATCACTACTCTCTTGATAATATGAACAGCAAATAAATAATGTAGAGTGCTTAAGTGCTATACGGTGTAAGAGTTGTCATTAATAAACAAAGTAGTTTATAAAAGAATTATAAAAATGTTGTGGATTTTGTTTTTCTTTTTTAGGAAGTCATAGAACTAACCAAAGACCTTCTGTCAACTCAACCTTCTGAAACTCTTGCAAGTTCAGACAATTTTGCATCTACTCAGCCCACACATTCATGGAAAGTAGGAGACAAGTGTATGGCAATCTGGAGTGAAGATGGACAGTAAGTGTAGAAAAACTCTAACTATAACATGAAATAATAAAATACAATGGTAAGAAGTTTTTATTCAGTTTGAACCACTCTGTTTTAATCTTTCTATAGAGGCAGTTTGATTCTGAGATACAATTTAGTTATAGATTTAGATTAACTTTGAGGGAAAAAGAATGGCTTGGATCCTAGAGGAAAGAAAAAAGCAGAGGAAAATGATTACTTTAAAAATCTAAATTCTTTTCTAGACTTGAAAGTTGAATGAATGGCTTATTGTCTTAGACTTCTGTGACTTGCACACATTGAAATTATTCTTTTAGGAAATATGTGCATCTATTCAAAGAGATTAATGTACATTGAGGAGGTATATGTAAGAGACTTTCTCAATAATATTTTGATTCGGACTTCCTTTTTTGATAGCAGGTGGCTAACTTCAACTACTCTTTTGTATTATTTTGCCAAAAGGGCTATTTGATTATAGAAGTTTCACTTTAGACATAATGTAATGATTATATCACTGCAGCATAAGTCTTGTAGGCTGAGTACCAAACCTTTACTCACCTGCTTACAGCCATGATATCTTTACAGGTGTTATGAAGCGGAGATTGAGGAGATAGATGAAGAAAATGGCACCGCTGCAATCACCTTTGCTGGTTATGGCAATGCTGAAGTGACTCCACTGTTGAACCTCAAGCCTGTAGAAGAAGGAAGGAAGGCAAAGGAGGACAGTGGCAACAAACCCATGTCAAAGTAAGTAACTTTGATTTTATTAGTATTGTAGGTGTAATTTTCCCCATTTGGATATTTGAGGTAGTCTGCAAAGAGAATCTAAGTAGGTTAATTTGAGGTGTGAAAGTTGTTATACTGGCTACCATTGTTTTAAAGATGAGTGATAATAGGGTCAACTTTATATGTGTATGTCTAGGTAAAGTGAAGGCATTTGGTTCCCATTTGGGAATTCAGTAAATATTAAGAGGTACTGTGTACTAAAAACATTTTCTATATGTATATATGTGTGTGTGTATATATATTTTTTAGACAGTCTTAACTATGTTGCCCTCAGTAGAGTGCCATGGTGTCACAGCTTACAGCAACCTCAAACTCTTGGGCTTTAGTGATTCTCTTGCCTTAGCCTCCCAAGGAGCTAGGGCTACAGGTGCCTGCCACGGCACCCAGCTATTTTTTTGTTGTAGTTGTGGTTGTTGTTTAGCTGGCCCAGGCCAGGTTCCAACCCGCCAGCCCTGGTGTATGTGGCTAATGCCCTATCCACTGAGCTGTGGATAGGAAGGCATTGCCTTCCCAGTGTATTTTTATAAGTCAAGTGCTAGGGTTCACACCGTAGTGAAGAAGACTAAGATAGTATTTTTAGTCTTTGACTTTTGTTTAAAAAGCCATGCTTAGCTTCATAGTGGTGATAATAGTACTGGAAGTCTAGTTTTTCTTTCTTTT